CTCCAGCCCACCCATAATTTTCCACCATAGTTTTTTGTTTGTTTGTTTGTTTTTAATGTATTTATTTTTGTGTAGAAGAACTGGGGTATAGGCCAGAGAGAGGTACAGGGGGATAGAAGGATTCACCAGAGACATTGGGAAGCAGTACAGGCATATTTACTGAAAGATACTGCTTAGGGAAGCAGGGAGCAAGACATGTGGGATAGCTCCCTGGAAGAGGATTGAACTTGGGCCAGTGTGGTGGTAGAGCTGAGTCTTAACCCCTAGGTGGAGGTGTCCCAGTTTTGTTTTAATTTTTATTGTAGTAACATTTGCTTCCAACATTGTATCAGTTTAAGGTATATGGCATTGCAAGTCAGCATTTGTCTTTGCTATATTATGGTCTATTTTCCATCCATCACCGTAGAATTGCTCCCCTTTACCTGATTTCACACCACCACTCCCTCTCCCCATCTGGTAAATACCACCTATTCTTTGTTCTTATAACCTAAGAATTTGGTTTTGTTTTGTTGTTGGTTTCCTATTTTAACTGTAAGTGAGGAAGTATTTCACTGTGTGTATATATATATATATATACAACACTTCTTTATCCATTCATTCATCACTGGGATCTTAAAGATTATTTCCATATCCTGGCTACTGTGAATCATGCCACAGTGAACATAGGGGTGCATATATCTTTTCAAATTAGTATTTAAATAAATTATATTTTCACTTAAATGTATTGTACAAAGCCATAGAGTTTAACCTATCTCATGAGAAAGAGAATTAAGTTACTTATGTTGCTAAGCTAAGCAGTTCCTGATGCTATGTTTGCTCAAAACTGTATGTCCTTTCCCTCTCTCACAGATGAGCTGTCCATGGGGCTGGGCCGACTGAAGGACATAGCCCTGGGGATGCAGACAGAAATTGAGGAACAAGATGACATTCTTGACCGCCTCACAAACAAAGTGGACAAGTTAGATGTCAATATAAAAAGCACAGAGAGAAAAGTTCGACAACTTTAAAGACAGAAAGATTTCTACTCCCTTGTGATAAAGTTTCACAAGATTCTTTAAAACACCTAATTTTTGTTATTTTAGTATGCAATTTAATATGTTTGCAAATGTTATAATAGAGTGGGTCTAAAGAGATGTTGTTATGAGGAAATAATGTGTCCCACTTTTTCTTTAAAGTGAATGCCTAGTGTTTTAGTGTGATCATAGTGGCCTGGCCCTGAATATCTTGGTTACCATGCTATTGTGAGCACATTGTGAATTCTCTTAATGCCTCAGAAAAGGGTCAGCATTAAATTTGGTAATAGAGGTGTTGACATTCTTTGCTACTCTGTTGGCAGATGTCACTCAGACTAGCACTATTCACTGTGACATCTAGAAATGTATAAGGAATTGGTTGAGCCTTTCTTCCCCATATGTCCTCATCTTTCTCTGCCCATGGTTAGGAATAGATTCTCCATTGACTTAAGACTGCCTGGCTGATCAACTAGGGGCTTTTTGACTTGGGACTATAACATCACACAACCTTCCTCCACAGAGCTCCACTCAAGACCTCTCCAGGGATCACCCGGACCAAACAGGTATGGCTGTATTCAGTACCTGGAGTCTCAGCCCATTTAGAACTACCACCCCTCTTGCACTTCTTACAAGGTGATTGACTCACTTGGTTCTCTGACACCCAGTTTTAGGACTGGAGCACCACAGGTGATACTGACTTTGTATGGAAAGGTTTGAGACTAAAAAGAAAATTTTATACACACACATGTGTACATGCTTTTACATATACACATATAATCATTTTAATTGACCCAGCTTGTTCAACTGCTCTCCTCTTCTTCAATTTATGAAAGACTAATTTAAAAGCATTAATTTCTGTAAGCAAATTTCTTTGTGTTGGCACCTCAAACAAAATAAATGAAGCCACAAGACTCGTTTCTTTACAAGTTAATTAGAATATTTTTGAAGACACGAAAGTGAGTATTTTAGTAAGATAGGTTAGACCAGAAACTTTGAATGGTATATTTCACCTTGAAATATGGTAAAAAAAAAAAAAAAAAAAGCACAATATGATGTTCTAGCCCATTAAATCCCTCAAAGCAAAGAGAAAACTCTTTAAAGTGCTGTGACTTTGATTTTCTAGCCCATTAAATCCCTCAAAACAAAGAGAAAACTCTTTAAAGTGCTGTGACAATGGATCAGTATTTATGTAGCAATTTTGTTTGTAAAAGTCCAACCCATAATGCATGACCTCCCTGAAAATACCAATAGCCTCTGGTGGCAGACACACCTGTCTGTTATGTTCTGGCCACCACAGGGAATCTGATCCATGCCACAAATGTTAGGACATAATTCATGACCATCAGGTTTAGACATTTATCAGGTGAGCGCTTCATGACTTTTCATGATAATTGGCAAAAAGAAACATTTTAAACAGGTACGCAATTGAAACTAAACAAGTTCACAGAACTTTCATCAAGAAGACTGCTTAAAGGTATGAAGCCAGAATAAAGAGCAATTGTATGTACATTTCCACTCCTAATTTTTTTAGGTTTTATCTCTCTAACACCTTCTTCCATGTGTGTCATATAACTGATTCTGTTTATTGTCGTCATGCATGGACTAAGTCATTATACCACAAACCTAAATTTTTTCAAATAAATGTATGTAAAGGCCACCACCAAACATTCTCTTGAGAGGCCACCCCTTGTGCACATTGATTAGTGATTTAACTGATTTGAAGCAAAGTTAGCACCTTATTATATATACTTTCCCTATCCATTGTTAGAGTAATGAAGTCAACCAGTCCCCTCCTTTTTAATTGTAAGCATATGGAAAGCCAGTTCCCTCACATTTGTAGGAAGTTGTCTTCGCCGACACATTAGAAAACATCATATATTTTGTTCTATTCTTGTTTGAACATTTTAAGACCTTTGCCAGAATGTTGTCTATCATAAGCTACATGCTAAATAGTATGAATTTAACATTCTAAGCAACAGGTTCTTTCTGCTGGGTCCATATCCCTGGTTCCATGCCCACAAAGAGCTGATTGTTGATACTACTTTATAAATCAAAGTTGTTCACATCTTCAAAGAACAAAGGAAGGCCTGAGGGGCCTCTAGAATCTTTGCACTTCATGATTATGATCAAAAAGAAAACATTCTATTCTCTAGCCTTGACATGTCTCATGGAGGTACTCAGAGGTACCAGGGCTGAGATTGGCTTTGGACTTTGAACTTTGGCATTATAAAGACCAGTGACCTCGTCCTTTCCAGATGGGCCAATAAGACAGATTTCTATTTCCACAAAGTGTGCCTTCTAAAAAGTGACTTTTTAACTTTTGTTTTTAACTTATGTTAAGTGTGCTACTAAATAAGTGCATTCTCTTTCAGATAAAACTATTTCTAACATCTAGTGACTTTTAGCTTAAAACCAATAGGATTGCCTCATGTGTATCTTTTTCAAAATCTTTTGGGAAAAGGCCCTGAATTTAACTCAGGTGGCAAGAAAAAATATGTGCATTTTAATTTCTCTAACTTCTTTTTGTGAGTATATAATTTTAAGTGTACACTACATGAATTAAGTAAAAATCTACTTTGTCTTTATAGGCCTTTACTGCAGAATTTTTAACATTATCAGTGTTAAGCATCTAATCAATGAAATGTCTGTACATATTATGAGCTAGTCATTACAATGCTCATGGGGGGCAAAGGAGGGAGAGGCAGAATTTTTGTTCAGCGTCTGTATCAGAACAGTTCTTAATCATGCCTTCAATTCAGCAAATGACCACAGTCCATAAAATAAAATGTGACTTTTTTTTTTTAATAAAACTCTTTTCCTCCTGGTCATTTTCAAAGAGTCAGTGGAGGGCATCCTCCTTGTAGTATTTGTACACAGGACCATATGTATTTGATCCTGACTGCCACATTTAGGCCCATAAATGAGCTTCTTTCTCATCTCCTGTCACAGTGCTTTTCCAGTCTGCCTCCTACCTTCCTTCCCACTCTGCAGCATTCTCAAGATCAAGGGTTGGCTAACTAAACAGGGCCAGAGAGCAAATGTTTTTGGCTCCCAGGGTAAACAATCTGTTATAACTAGTCTACCACTGCAGCACAAAAGCCAAAAACAATTTGTAAATAAGCAAGACTGTGTTCCAATAAAACTTTATTTATGGACACTAAAATTTGAATTTTATATAATTTTAAGCCATAAAATATTATTCTTTAGGGCTTTTTTCAGCCACTTAAAAATGTAATAATTCATAGGATGTGAATTACAGTTGTAATTCAATGTACAAAACAGTTGGTAGGCTGTGTTGGGCCCAGGAGCCAGATACAGTTTGCCACACCCTGTCTAGACTGCTAGAGGGATTCCTGCAGATGAGAAGATAAGAAAGACTGGCCACTTTACTCTGCAAGTGGTTTCTCCATCAGAGCTCCTGACCTCCTGTGTACACCAAAGCCCTGCAAGCAAAGGAGAACAGGTCAAGGCTAGTCTTGGCTCCACCATCTGGCCTCGCTCTTCACCTAGGCTAACCACAGACCTAGGAATTGCTTCTGGGTCTGAAAGTTTGAGGAAGAACATGTAGACGGGCTAGTTCACATTTTAGAATTTTTGTAGGTAGTAGATAATTCAGTTCTTGTGTCCCAAAGACCATCTAGTAAGCATCATCATAAATAAGGAATGATGAGGTCTGATCATGGACTACAGAGTATACTGGGGAAGACAAGGGAGAAGATATTAGTTAGAAAAAAGCAAAATCAAGTTAGCCCATATTTGGGAATTAGAAGTAAAGACTAGCATTTAGATTGTACATGGAAGATGGGCTCCTGATATGAAAGGCCTTATGGGCCATATCAAGGAGTCAAAGTGAAACAGGGCAGAGAGAACTACAAAAAGGGCAACAAGGCAGGAGGCTGGACGGAAGAATAGAATGACCACACACCTGCCAGGGCTTTGAGACCAGAGAGCCACCAAAACACCCCAAAAGGCCAAAAACCAAACCAAGGGCTACAGCAATATAAAACCCACACAATAGGGACCTATGGACTTTAGCCTAGCAAAGGAGTGTCTAATAAGAGAACAGGTTGCTGTGGGTTCTTACCCATGCATACAATTGCAAGATACCTCAGGCTCCAGGAATTACCCTCTTGGGGTTTATTTTACAAACAGGGGAAACAAAGAGTTTATCCACAAGTGGCTGCAGCCTCACCCAGATAACATCAGTGATGGTCACCACCACATCGCCAGGAGTGCAGGACAGCACCGGCCAATAGGGATGGTCGCTACAGGTCTCTCAGAGGCAGTGTCAGAGACTCACCCAGTGTTAACAGCTCTTTGAGACACCAGGCCCAGGGCCTTTGGCGCTCTTTTCAGGCAATGTCGCAATGTCAGAGATGGGATCGAGGCCCAGTCTGTGACAGTCCTTAGGCTTCTCTTCCCTCCTCAGAGGTTGGGTGCCTGATGCTTCTTTTCCTCTTTCTTCAGAGGCTGGAAAGGAGTCTTTCCCTTCTTTGGGAACAGACAGGAGCCAGTGTTGTCTTCCTATCTGGCCTGGGGCTGTGGGTCTTATCTTGTGTGGCTCTCCCTCAGATCCTTGCTTTCACCCACAAGTCATCGTTTAGCACAAATCAGCTCATAGCTTGCCACAACTGACTTGTAGTGGAGCAGCAGAGTGAAAGAACTCTGCTCCTGCTGAAGTAGCTGGGTTCCAGTAACAAAAGCACTGACCTTCAATGACAGGGAGGCTAAGCAAGAGAGTAACAGTCAGATTCACATTTTTAAAGGGTAAATGATAAGATTATTTATATAAACAAACAAATGTAGACATAGAATGAATATGGTTCACCTGTAACTGAAATAGGTAATTGCAGTCATTTTCATAGTCATATAGGATAATGTTCACAAGAAAAATATGGAAACAGAATGGACATAAATCTGTATAGTACTGTTACTGGAAAAAATACATATGTTTTGCCATCTAATTCCATAACAAAACAATCATACTCCCTTTGCCTTAAAATGTGATATTTAAAGTTTACTTTTCACAGTGAATGTGAAAAATGCACTAGCATCTTTATTATGCACAAAGCATCTTACTGCACTGGCAATAAAGACCAAAAAATGCTCTGGTATAGTGACAAAAGGGTGTTATATCTGCCTCACTGCAACTTGCCACGCGCCAACCTAAGCAATCGTGCGAAGAGATGAGCATCACATGCAGTCTCTTACAGCTACTGCACTCTGCCATAGAGTGGAAGCAGCCATAAACAAGATGTGTCTGGATTCTAGTGGGAGTGTGTGAAGCTTTAGCCTATAAAATTTCATTTACGGAAACTGAAATTTGAATTTCATTTAATTTCCATATGTCAAAAACATTTTTCTTTTGATCTTATCCCCAACCATTTAAATAATACGAAAAAAAAAACATCAGTTTTTGTTCATGGGTAATAAAAAAAAACTACCAGTGCACAGGATTTCATCCATGGGCTGTTATAGTCTACAGATTCAAAGTCTTATTGGATGTGTTTCTTTTGCCTTGCACCATTGTGACCCAGTTTGTTTTTTTTTTTTTTTTAACAGTTCTTAGTGCAAAATGAATACCCATTGAGCAGTACTTCATGAATGGGTGAATGAATATTTTGATATTATTTAAACATACCTTTTTGTTGAATTCTATACTTAAAATATTATCTTGGAGCCCTCCCTGGTGGCACAGCAGGTTAAAGCACAGTACTATGAAGCTATCTATAGCCACCACAGCGCAAGTTCAATCCCCAGCCAGGGAGCTGACCCACATGGCATGGCAGACCTCTCCTCACCCGCCTGCTGCTCCCCTCAGCAGTGTATTTCAGTAGATCTGCCTGTTTTGCTACCCTCTCTGTCTCTGGTGAATCCTCTCACCCCACCCCACATCTCCGGTCTATACCCCAGTTCGACATGTATAAATTAAATAAATATTTTTTAAAATACACTAAAGGGTATTAAACCTTGTCAGTTTTGTAGCATGTAAATATTTTTTCCCGTTCAGTAGAAAATCTTTCTCTTTTCCCCCCATGACTG